GGGGGGGGGGGGGGGGGGGGGGGGGGGGGGGGCAACAGGAGAGGATGGAGCCTATCCCAGCTGACATCGGGCGAGAGGCAGGGTACACCCTGGACAGGTCACCAGACTATTGCAGGGCTGACACAAAGACACACATTCACACCTACGGACAATTTAGAGTTATCAATTAACCTAGTCCCCAATCTGCATGTCTTTGGACTGTCTTCCTTAGGGATGAAGCATCCCTCAGTCAAAAGCCAACCGTCAGCAAGGAAGTCCTTCCTCCATGCCACCCTCAGTAACTTCCAGAGCCGTTTCCTGAGCCTTTCGAAATACTTGTACATCTTGTACGGAATGCCGTAAGGCCCCAGGGCTGATTTTGCTCTGGCCTTCTTGAGAAAGGTGTTCACTTCCTGCCACCTCAGTTCCTCAGCTCTGCTCCTCAACCTCCTCCTTTGTTGCTTTCAGCTCCCCTGATCTTTTATTGCCCAGAAGTTTTGACAGGTATTTGAACGGGTTGTTGGTAAAGTCTGTCCTCTCCTTCATCCGTCGCTTCCAGTCTCTGCGATGACATTCAGCTCTTTGCAAGGTCTTCATGCATTCTCTTAAGTTGTCTTGGAATTCTGTCAGTGTTGGTCTCTCATCCGCTGTTGCTTCATGGAATGCCTTCCTCAGCCTCTGCAGATCTCCTTGGAGCGTTGCTAACTCCTTCAGGTGTCTGTTTTCCTTTGGCTGGGTGTTTGTTCTGGCTTTTGGCTTTTCCTTTCCAAAACACTCAGTGACTATATTCCAGATGATGGATGCCATGGCCTTAAGCTTCTTCCCCACATCTCCCGCCAAGGCTGTTTCCAGTATCCGGTCCACATCACATCATCTCCCACTCCTTCCTTGCCACTGCAGCAAGCCAGTTTACTCTCTCCTTCCGGGCCACTCCTGCGCAGGTGTCCTGTCCAGGTTGTCTGATATCTCGAGTGCCTTCCATCTCAGACTGGTGCCTTGTGTCCTCTGACACATCAGCGATGTTGATCCCGCCCCCCTCTTCGTCATGTGCATGGAGATTCTGGGGGCTGTAGTTTGCCTCCTGCCCCGGCCTCTCCTCCGTCTCACCAGGTTTCCCTGTGCGTTGCACATTATGCTCAGGTTGCAAGCACTTCATCCTTGACTGATTTATTTTCAGACCCCTCTCATTTTTGCATATCTTCCCACATCTACAGACCCGGAATGAATCACTTAGCTGTTCCATAGTCAATTTCCCGTCATGGGTGGTCATAACAATGGTCTCTCCTGTGGGCCGATCATCCTCCCCTGCTCTTGCTCGGCCCCGGGGGTATCTTGTAATGTACCTTTCCATAGCGATTGTTTTGGGTTCCTCCTTACGGAGGATTATCGTGATTACACTAATGACCGCTTTAGGGGATGAAGGGGGTCATGGTTAAAAAGATTGACGTTCACTGTCAGATGGAAACAAGCTGAACTTTAAACTCCCAGAATACGAACATCAAAATGACTTTAAAGCAGCTGCAAGTTCTCATTTTCTCTTCTGAAGCTGATGCTAATCGCTCACTGTCAGTCAGCACAGTTAGCATGGGAGACAACGTCTACCAGGGGCACTGAGGTGATTCTGCTGCTTTTATTTTCATCACTTAACAGGCAGGTTGATTGACAGGCCAGTCTCCCAAAAACTCCTCATCTGTTTTTTTCCTCTGTCTCTGTCTTCCCGCTGCTCCCTCTCTTTTCCCCACATCTGTTTCTCCCTCCTCCATTAACTATGCTAATCTATGCACTAACACTTATCACCAGAAACAAGTCTGAGGCAGATGACAAGGCGAGGCGAGACACCGGCAAAAGCAGACCAAAGCCAAATTGGAATCAGGATGGATTTAATTTGCCAAGAACAGCAGCTGCACAAAGAATATGACCTGGTTAACGGCTAAAACAGAACTGACACACAAGGTGCTGGACAAAACGTAAGGCAGCCTCAATGTATTACAAACAATATGTGATGTGACAGCAGACTAAACACAATTACATGTCACATAAACAAAGCAAAAAGTATACACACAAAGGCAGGTTGATGCTTTTTCTTTGTTTACAGGAAGAATGGAAACATTCATCTGGTGTCAACACCTGTAATCTTACCTTATTCTAAATTCAAGCCAGCATTTGCACTCTGATTGTTACATCAACAACATTTTCAACTCCACCCTAAAGGAGAGAAGTGCAATGGACCTTGGGCGTGATCTAGCCCTTTTATTGTGTTTTACTGTGTTTTTAGTTTTGAATTTTTTTGCACTTGCACCTGTGTGAGGATGTGTTGTGTTGCTGTTGAATAAGCTACTGGATGCCTTAATTTCCTTTGGGATGATCTATCTATCTATCTATCTATCTATCTATCTATCTATCTATCTATCTATCTAAAATCTCCAGAAATGTAAACCTGTCTCGAATCCAGATGAAAAGTTTTTTTGGGACATTTTTGGGAGATTCTTGCCACTAATGTGACACTGATTTTTGACTTCTGACTTCCAGCCTTTCATTTATTTTTTTTTTAATGTCTAAACTTTCAAAAATGTCCCAATATGTGACAAAGTACATGCTTTGGTTATTGTAACTCACCCAGAGGCATGCCAATGCCGTATCCTTTGGTGTCCAGCAGTCCTCCGATCTGTGTGAGGTTGCAGTTGAGACTGCGGTAGTACTCGTTCATGGTGCTCTCCATCAGGAAGGCGTACTTGGAGTTGAGGACGCGGGCGATGCCTTCCTCGGTGCTCTTCACAAATACACTGGGCTGCTTGGAGTACATGTAGTTCCACATCCGCATGTACGTCTGGTACCGTGAGTTCTGGAGGAGGAGGAAGAGAGAGGGATGTAGGTGGAGATGGGATGGTTATCGATAATTTTCCAGGTTTTCACATTTATTTGTTCCCTATTGCTATTGAGGAGTGAGTGAGTTCCAATACTAAAGGGATAGTTTGGATTGTTTTAAGTGGACTTGAGGTATGACGTACTTATCCCTAGTCAGTGTATTACATACAGTAGATGGCACGGCTTAAAGGGCCAGTGTGTAATATTTGGCATGGTTTATTGTCAATCTGAATCTGAATCTGAATATTCTACCCATTAATATGTTTATATAAGTGTATAATCGCTATAAAATACAATTTGTTTGGTTTTCGTAGCCTTATAATTATGCTTTTATATATATATATATAGCAAGGGCCTTGCTTTAGAGAGGTCGCCATCTTGCGCCGCCATGTATGTACGGCAGACCGAGCGGACAATCCAGCCAGCCAGAGAACGCGTTTCGCGTGTATAAATGAACCAACGAAGACAGCGGAAGGAAGGAAGAAGGAGGAGGAAACAGCAGAGAGTGTTAGTAGTTCGTCGATAGAGAGTAGTGAAAAGTTTTTTTAGTTATAAAGTTTGCGAATGGACCACACTTACCACACAACAGGAGAGAATGAACCCAAACCGTCATTTGCGAGGAAAAGAAGACGCAACTTCACTCCTTGTGATGCACTCTGCAGCACTTTTCCTCCTGATGATATATCTCCCCAACAATGGTAGCACCGAATCCCATTCTGTGCATTCAGCCTCTCTTCTCGCCTGCTCAGCATCAAACACATGGAGTTCCTCATCTGTATGCTCCGACTCAAACAGGTATGGCTCTGGATCTGTGTCCGCTACAAGAAACTCTTCAAAATCGCGTTCAAAGTCGTCCATTGCAGCTACTATAGTCCGGAGATATTGCTAGGCTAAATAAACAGCTGAGCTCTGTTTACAGGCTACGCTGTCAGTCAGTGTGCGGGCTAGAGATTGGTGGAGCAGAGAGGGGAGGGGGTCCCCACTCGGTATGGTAAACGAGAATGTGTGTATGGAGTGTGTGTGTTACGCTAGAAGAGTCAGAGTTTGGGAGGAGTCTTTTACCCCCTGGAGTGTTACCAGAGTTTTTGGAGTGCTCAAATAAACTGGCCTTTTTCCCGAACGCTCCTCTGGTCTCCTGCTCGTGAGGGATTCATTACAATATCGTAACATGGTTTAGATTTCTAAATAAATATTCACCTCATTGCTAGATAGACCTACTCCTGAAAAACTTGTGTGCAAGGCTTTTTGTCCCTACGAGGCCACCGTCATTTACCCGACGGGAGGGGTGAGCGAGTGAGCCCTGCAATCTAGAATTTGACCACTGATGTCACTGTTTTCAACCCATTTTACACACTGGCCCTTCAAGAAGAAGCAGCAGGAGTACGACCATGGGAGCTAAGCAATGCACTAAGTGCACTGCAGTAACAGTTTAAGTGTATGTAATATTAAGAGTATTTTGTCATACAACATATGACCAAACTCCTATACTCTTGTCAAAGCCACTAGACTCCATTGACAAAAACAGTATTTAATCAAAGAAAACTTAATTTCTATTTGCAATTTGATATTTGGCGGTATGGCTCTGTTCTGGGACCTCTCTGCCCTTCCACGTGCCTACATGGAAAGCTGAAGGCAGAAAGAGCACACCCCTCTGCCCTCCACGTGAAAGGGAGGAGCTGGGATGGAGGCGGGCTGCAAAGAGGCTTGCAGAGGAAACAGCAGCAGTAGGCAGGCCAGAGCTGTTTAAATAGGGTGTCCTGAATGAGGTTTGCCAGTTGTGTAGAGAGGAATCATGTGATCCATCTGCTCCCCTCTATCAATCAGCTGATTGAGCTGTTTGAGATCAGCTGATGTAGCTGGGGTGTGAGCTGAGCTTAACATCGTGGCATGCCTGAACTAACGCTATGCTCTATTTTTGTCTCACTTAACACAGGAGCTGCTGGTCTACTGCTTAGAGCTCTGATCCTTTGCCTGAACCCATTTGGGCCTGATCCGACTCTCTGGATTTGGCTGTAATTTCTCAAAGTTCCCTTGGTTTAGAGTCAGGTTGGGTTCACGCCAAGTTTTGGGTGTTTTGAAAAAAATGTGGGCTGTGTTGCCATCAACCCATTATAACTAATGAAAATGGTGAGATTTACAATTTAATTTCAGCTGACAAAATATTAAATTAGGGGGTCATTTGCTGATAGGACGCACACAAACTCCAGTGTACTGCACAGGAGAGACATCAAACTGGCAGTTCTTGTGCATTAATGGCAAGAGTTGCATTAGACTGAGGGAAAAAACAAGAGAAAGAGAGAGAGGGGCTGCAAGGCAATGTAGCTGGCAGTGTTTGCCTCTATTTCCAGCGCAGTGGGGGAGGTTTGCTTAACATACAGCAGAGAGCGTCATCTGCGTGTTGCATCACCATGGACTGAGTTTGCACTAAGGGGTGTAGCTCGCCTTGCCGGACCTGACACACATGAGACAGAGAGCCGTCAACAGACAGAAGGAAGAGAAGAAGAGGTGGTGCCAGGAAACATGTCAGCCCTTAACTTATAATACATATTTTATTATATAGAAATTTATATAATAAAGAATAATATAGAAAATATTATAGAAATTTGGGTTTTAAATGGACTTGGGCCCAGAAACTGCTGCCATGGTTTGGCCTTGGGTTGGACTTGAACAAAAACAATGCAGGTTCCTGTTGGGTCGGGCCTTATTTTTTGGGCCCTATCAAAGCTCTACTACCACTGCCTCAATCAGTTAGATAGTTTGTTCATTTTGTGACTTTGGTGAACCCAAACTGACCCTTTAAAACACCAGAATCACACAACAACACAAACTAACTGATTGAGGTAGCGATAGACCACCAGCTCCTGTGTTCAGCAGTGTTAAATCACTGTTTTTCTTAATGGAGTCTGGCTTGAAAAGTGCAATACAATAGCATCAGTTCCCCGTCAGAAATTAGGGTTTGATGGCAAGGTAAAGCTGAGAAAATAGTGAACACTTAAATTGATTTGGACTTTTTCTTGGGTAGCTAAGTTTTGTTGCTGCCCCCATCCACAGCAGTACATCGTTTTGCTTACCTGTCAGATTAGCATGCCGAACACCATCCACTGTAGGCAATACACTGACTATGGATAAGTACCTCATACAATCCCACTTTAAAAGATGCAAACTATCCCTTTAATGGTGATGATCAGCCATATAAATCTTCCTCTAGTTATCTGCTAAAGAAATATCACTATGACTCTCCTCTAAAACTAAACCCAGACAGCGTACAATGTCTCTCCCCTTCTCACCATGAAGAAGGTCATGGTAGATCCTCCGTGGATAGTGCCGTACTGGATGTTGGTTTGGTCAGCCAGATCATCTGGAGACTCGATGGGAACCTCCATCCTCTGGACAGTCAGAAATGCCGCCAGGTTGGCCGTGTAAGACGAGATGATGATGAGGGTGAATGCCCACCTGAGAGGACCAGAGAAGAAGAGTCGCTTTAACCTTTATTTACCCTGAAAAACTTTCAAACCCTCACTTCCTTTTGTTTCTCTCCCTCTCTCTTCATTAAGAGCTGCGAGTGGAAAGCAGGAGAGAGACAGATGGAGAGCACTGCAGGAAACGTCAGGATTTTTAGGTAAAAATCATCAACCTAAACATGAACTCAGGCTGCAGCAGCGAGGAGCAGGACACCTCCACTGCAGAGGAAATGAGACGGAAGTGATGAGCAAGGGAATTAGGAAGGGAGCCGAGCTTTGAAAGAGAGAGATGGAGGCAAACAGAGAGGGAGGGAGGAGGAATTAATGATGGAGAAGAGGAGGGAGGTGAAATTAGACAGGCGTGAGGAAAATAGGAATTAAAGAAATAGGCAGAAAGAAATACTACATCCAAAAATTATCATTTGTGTATTAATTACTCACCCAGTGTCACACTGAATTTATGAAGAAAACTTAAACAAAGAATTCAAAAACTGAGAAAATTCTTGATGCCTTAAGACATATGTTTAACACTAGCAAAACTTCATCAAAACAGCAATTTACAAACTCACGCAACTTCCATCCATCAATCCATTTTCGTAACCGCTTACCCTGGACAGGACGCCAGACTATCGCAGTGCTAACACATAGAGACAGACAACCATTCACACTCACACCTACGGGCAATTTAGAGTCACCAATTAACCTATCCCCTGAATGTCTTTGGACTGTGGGAGGAAGCCGGAGTACCCGGAGAAAATCCACGCTGACACGGGGAGAACATGCAAACTCCGCACAGAGGGGCTCTCTCCTGGGATCGAACCAGGAACCCTCTTGCTGTGAAGGTGCTGACACCACACCGCTGTTTCGCTCACACAGCTTGTGCAGTATAATCCAAATGATATGTTCAATACTTCCAAAACACACTTTTTTTCCACTTAAAACTTACTATTTATAAGTATTTTCTCCGTTATTGGATTGTTCGTTAAGTTTTCTTCATGAATTCAACGTAATACGGGATGAGTTTGTCATGGGCTGGCACCTCTTCTTCCTCCTCTCTTCTTCTTCTCTGCCCTCACTCCAACACTAGGCCTCCTAAATCCTCAGAACAATGTGTTTTAACTGTTCCACGATCAAGGCTAGTGGGTAAGGGAGATTGCGCCTTTGGCTGCTCCAAAGCTCTGGAAAAGCCTTCCACTCTCAATCAATGTTGCCCCTCCATTGACACTTTTAAGAGAAATCTTCGTACATACAATTTTTCAATGGCCTTTGGTTGCTCTTGTCTTTTCACTATTTTAGTATTTTGTAACCTTGTATGTAGGTAATTGAGATTTTTATTCTGTTTGAGATTTGTGCACATATAATGTTGCTCTCTAATTTCTACTGCCATTTATTATCTTACTATATAATGACAAAAACTCTGTCTGTGTGTCTGTTCCACGTTTTTCTCCTCACTGACTTGGTCAATCCATGTGAAATTTGGCACAGTGGTAGAGGGTCATGGGAGGATGCGAATGAAGCAATATTACATCAATTGGCCAAAGGGGGGCGCTATAGCAACCGACTGAAATTGCAAACTTTGAATGGGCATATCTCATGCCCCGTATGTCGTAGAGACATGAAACTTTGCACAGAGATGCCTCTCCTCATGAGGAACAAAGAACCCATAACTTCCGGTTATATAGATTTTCTGCCATTTTGAATTTTTTGAAAAACACTTCAAATCGATCTCTTCCTAGGAAGTTTGACCGATCTGCATGAAACTCAGTGAACATAATCTAGGGACCAATATCTAAAGTTCCCTCTCGGCAAAAGTTGGAAAACTTACTAAAACTGAGCTTCTATAAGGCAATGAATATTGCGGAGGGCGTGGCTCATCACATAAAGGTGTATAACATCTCAAGGGTTTCACTGATCACCACGCAACTTTGTAGGCATATGACCACACATAATCTGAGGGGACCCCTCCATTATTGACCCCATCAAACAAAATGGGGGTGCCAGAGAGCTAATTTCTTATCTAGGCCTAACAGCCATATGGATTTTTACTAAACTTGGTAGATATGTAGAACAGGACGCCTCAAGGTGACTGGAGAAATTTAACTCTAATTGGCAACTGGGTGGCGCTATAACAACAGAAAAATGATTACAAATGGCTAAAATGCGACTGATCGCTGTGGCTCCCCCTGTGGCTGAATGTTGTTGTTTTTTCTAATTTTTGGTATGACTAAGTCATGGTATGGTATACTGTACATAATCACGGAAACTGTCAGTGTGTCATTCTGTCAGTCAGTCATTCTGTCTGTCCCACGTTTTTCAAAAACTGTCTGAATACATTGCTCTTCTTAATGGGTTCAGTTGACTAATCTGGGGGCATCTGATCAGGATGCCTCTGCATAGGAAATTGCATAATCTGCAATTTCCTATGACCTGTATCCCAAACACACACCATGTGAAACTGTATGTGGGCAACATTGCACTCAATGGGTATGGACTAGTTGTTATTGTTATTTAAATTTTAACTGCTATTTGGGTGCCATTCATTTTGTCTTTTACATCACTTTGGGCAACATGCTATATGAAAAACTTGATTTGATATTTAAAACACTTCTGCATAAACACTCGCAGACATGGAAGAGTAGCACACCCGGGCAAGGGCGTGTTCTTCATGAGGCATGAAATGTTTTAAATAGTACAGCTTTAGTGAAAATGTATGTGTTTTGGAAGTTCTGAGCATACTACTGGATAAAGGAAACATATACTTCATGAGCTGTGTGATAGTTTGTAAACAGATGTTTTGCTGTTTTAAATGCCCTATGACTTCGATTCATGAACAATGCTCGCCTTCTTTGGATTCTTTCATTGTAAAACATTTTCTTCACAAATTCAACATAACATGGGGTGAGTCACTGATATTACACTGATCATTTTGTGGGTGAAATATTCCCTTAAAGGAGCAGTGTGTAAGATTTAGTATCATTATCATGATATCATCATCTGCAGAGGTGCCTCCTCACCAAAACAAACAAACCCAGTGATTTAAACCAGTAAAAAAAAAACAAGTATGATACAAATCAGTGTTCTTCCAATGCTGTTTGGCATGTCAGACACGGGTCGCTAGCCCAGCACCTGCTAATCTGTGCTCATATTTTTTCTCTGATAACTTAAGATCCAGGCATTCAGGAAGTTTTTATCTGGAGCTGAATTATCCACAGAGGTCTAGTCCTCACCAGGACAAACAGACCTGGTGATTTAAACTGGAAAAAGGTGAAAACATGAATGGTCCTTTCTAGAGCCAGTGTTTGGTTTGTCCCATTTGGACTGTAGAAACATGGCAATCTCTGTAAATGAGGACCTGCTTCCGATGTACATATAAATGTCTCATTCTGAGGTAATGAAAACATGATGATTTTTATTTAGGTAATTATACACTAAAGAAAACATACTTATCATATTGCATTCTGTTTCTGCCAATATATCCCCTACATCCTACACACTAGACCTTTCACATTACAAGTGTTGCTGGAGTTCTTCAGCTTCAGTTACTAGACCTCTTCAGCCTGACCAGCTTGCCAGCCAACAAGGCAGTCAGTCAGACAAACAGACGGACTAACAGAAATCAGTATATTGCAGTTTGTGCCACCACCATCATGAGTTTTTATCAGGCTTATCAGGAAGTGCTCGGCGAGGCTGAGAGCTGTCAGTGAAAAGATGCTGATGGCCCCTCCAGTCCCTCCACTATCTCTCCACCATCTGTCTGACTGCAGCTACTGGGAATAAGGGAGGAGAGGAGAGGAGAGGTTAGGAGAGGAAAGGAGAGGGGAGAAGGAAACACAGGAGAAGAAGGAAAGGGGAGGACAAATTGAAGAAATAATCTCCACAGCCAGCAGGAGGGAGGTTTGGTTTGCATATTCTTCTTGTTGAAGTAGATGTTTGTAGTAGACGATTTAATGACAGCTCATAACTATTTAAAAATGAGAGTAACATCACCCTCCAATATCACCCCCAACATAACCACAGAATCAACCTGGACCCCACCCCTTAAGTCACCCCATCAAACAGCCACCATCAACTCAAAAATAAAATTGGACATGCCTCTTCCTCCGTCCTCAGGTCCAGTGGTCTACCCTTTGGTTGGGGATCGAATACTAGTCCTCTGAGCGGAGGAGCAAAACTTTGCTGCATCACCATTCCTCTCCTTCCATGTCACACACCAGATCAACATGCCATTCCACCTAACTGAACCCCAAACCCTAACCCTAACTCCACTCTAACCCATCTTAAGAGTTAACACTTGCAAACTAAAATGGGATATTGACACATAAAAAAGGGCAAATTACAAAAAAAAAAAAAAAAAAAAAAGCTAAATTAAATATATATAAAAGCGAAACTTTCACCCAAATAATCTACCTAAAAGCTTCTTCTTTGGGACAGACTTGTGACGATGTCTGGTCAGAGACTTACTAAAAGATATTTAAAAAGGAGGAGGACACAAAAGCATGAATAACTGTTTCTCACTGTTGGAAGGATAACAGTGTATATATTTTTGCAGTATTTCTAATGTGAAAGTATCCATCGATTTTCAACTACTTATCTGGGGCCGGGTCACGGGGGCAGAAGGCTGAGCAAAGCACTCCAGACGTCTCTCTCCCCAGCTCATCCTGATGGATCCCAAGGCCAGATGAAATATATAATCCCTCCAGCATATTCTGGGTCTGCCCCAGGGCCTCCCACCTCTTGGATGTGCCTGGAGGCACCTAGGAGGCATCCTGATCAGATGCCCGAACCACCTCAACTGGCCTCTTTTGATGCAAATGAGGAGTAGCTCTACTCCAAGAACCCTCCAGATGTCTGAGCTCCTCACCGTATATACAAGGCTGAGCCCAGCCACCCCACTGAGGAAACACATGTTGGCTGCTTGTATCTGCCATCTCACTCTTACAGTCATTATCCAAAGCTCATGACCATAGATGAGGGTTGGGGCGTAGATTGACCAGTAGATCAGAAGCTTTGCTCTCTGGCTCAGCTCTGTCTTCACAACGATGGTCCACGATCACGATGGTTCAACGATGGTTGAATTCCTTTGCTTAGGGCAGTAACTCTCTCCCAACCTTGAGAAGGGAATTCACTCTTCTCCAACAGAGAACCATGGCCTCAGACTTGGAGGTTTTTAGCAAGCAATTTTCTATTTGTGTCAAATGACCCAAGATGTTGGACGATGTTATTAGAGACCTGATCTTGGGGCAAAACCAGAACTTTATTGTAATTTAATTTAAGAAAATTTGGTGACATCCAGTTGCTGATCTCAGCCAGAGACTTGCATAGAACAGGTAGATGTGAGAGGTCAGTGGGCTTAACGGAAAGGTAAAGTTGTGTATCATCTGCGTAGCAATGATAAAACACACAACCAGAATGATGGATTAAGTGCCCTAAGAGAAACATATGTAATGAAAATAAAATGGGTCCAAGAATTGACCCCTGAGGCACCCTACAGGTTAAAGGAGCAAAATGGAGCAAATGTGGATACCTCATCATCGGCACACACCAGGAACTTCTTGTAACTTCAGGCTGTACATTTACATTTAACAGAAATCACACATTTTCTCTAACCTTAACCAAAGTGCATCTGTTGCCATAACCTAACTCTGCACAGGAGTCTGGATTTGAACCCTGGTTTCTGCTGTCACAGTCCCACACTTTGTGTGTATGCTGTCCACCCTGACCACCTCCCTGTGAATCAAGCATGGTACAGGAATGTAGAATCCAGGCAGTGATTATGTTGTCACCACAATGTGATTATTTCATAATACAGAAACATAATTTGTAGGAGACATCAGAAGTTTGTGACATCTAAGCTGCTGTGGAATCTGTATGTGCAGAAAAAGTACAGTAAGATGCTGCATTGTGTAGGACAGAGACACGAGAGGAGGAAAGGAGGAGATGAGGAGAGGGCAGAGGAGGAGAGGAAATGAAAGGTGAGGGCAGAGGAGAAGAAGACCTGAGAGGAGGACAGGTGAGCAGGAGAAGGCAGAGGAGCAGAAACAAAATGAGAAGAGAAACTGACATCATCATTTTCACACGAGAGACACATTACCATCTGTTCACCTTCAGCTAATGTTCCTGAGGAGGGAGGGATAGACAGAGAGGAGAGGAGAGGAGAGGAGAGGAGAGGAGGAACTTGACTGTAATTTGAAGACAAGCAGCTGTGACACGAGCAACTTCGTGTACAAAGTTACAAAGAGTTCTCCAAGGAAAAGGCAAAAGAAAAAGCAAATATAAGTTAAATCAAATAAATAAAATAATGATGAGATGAAACCAGACGGAACATTAAATATTCACAAAACTTTCCGGTGAAACAAAGTTTTAAGAAGTTACAGATATAACCTGTTTGATCTCAACAGGCTGCATATCTATTATATTTCAGTCCCAGGCCCAGAGACTACTTTTTCCATTTATCAGCCCCTCAGAACTTCTAATATGGATGTGCCGCACGTTTTCTTTTTCAGAATAACCAGGACTGTTTGAAGATTTCTTTGATGTGATTCAAGATTTATGCTGGATTATATATACATGTAGAATTTAGCTGTACCTAGAAAAAAAGACCATCACACAAGGAGCCATTACAACTATTTTAGGTACTCAGAAACTTGACCTGCATTTTGAAATCCTGAGTCTAAGGAGTTGAGTTTAGAGTAACAGAGCTGCAATCAAGACAAAACTTTGTTGTTGTTTGACTTACTGTGGTTGTATCTTAAAGCAGAAAAAAATGTAAAACCCTCATTAGAGCTTCTACTTTGTAAACAGTCATTTAGTTTTCCTCTGACCTCCACAGGTCTCCTTTGCATCAGTTCATTACATCCTACTCAAACAACAGTTGTTGAGTTGTGCTCCAGTAAGAACAATAGCAGAACTCTTTTAAGCACTTATTGAACTCATTTTCCTAATCTGCACAATTATGCTGACCCCACCGCACTCACATTTATCATTATTATTATCTTATTCATTAGATTAATTCAGCTTTTCTCAAGCTGTGTGAGGCGTGACAGGTGGGGCGCATGACCAAGGGTAAAAATGTGATGCAGAACTAATGTTTCGAGGAACTAATGTTTTGATGTCAGAATCTTTTTCATAGTGGAACAGTCAAGAAATTGTACTTTCACAACAGTAAAGGTGTTCATTCAGAAGGGCTGTAGGTTTACAGAATGGACAGATGTTTGACAAGGATAGAAAAGAAAACAGGGGATGCTTCCAAGAAATATACAACCCCAATTCCAAAAAAGATGGGATGCTGTGTAAAAGATAAATAAAAATACCACATGTAAATCCTTTTTGACCTTCATCCGATTGAATACAACATCAGGCTGAGTTGTTCACAAGCAAGGATGGTCACTTTAAAAAACTGTGTGGGCAAACAGTCCAACAGTTTGAGAGCAATGTCTTTTAACGCACCATTGGAAAGAATTTAAGATTTCATCATCTACAATCCATGATATTAACAAAGATATAGAGAATCTGGAGAACTCTCTTCACGTCAGGAACAAAGCTGAAAATTACCACTGAATGACTGTGACCTGTGACCCCTAAGATGGCACTGCACTAGAAACTGACATGACTGTATAAAGCATATTAGTCAATAGGCTCAGGAACACTTTAGAAAACCACTGTCAGTAAACACAGTTCATTGCTGCATCTACAAATGCAAGGTCAGACTCTACCATGCAAAGTGAAAGCCATATATCAACAAAATCTAGTAACACCGCTGACTTTTCTGAGCCCAACCTCATCTGAGATGGACTGACACAAAGTGGAAAAGTGTGCTGTGATCTGACGAGTCCATTGTGGATGTTGTGTCCTCTAGGGAAAAGATCATCCAGACTGTTACCGGCTCAAAGTTCAATGCCAGCACCTGTGATGGTATGGGGGAGTGTTACTGCCCATGGCATCATGGGTAACTCTTATATCTATGAAGGCACCATGACTGCTGAAAAGTACATAAAGGTTATGGAACAACATATGCTGTCATCCAGATGACGGCTTTTTCACAGACATCCCTGCTTATTCAAGCAACACAATGAGAGACATTCTGCACGTGTTTCAACAGCGTGGCTTCGTAGTAAAGAGTGCAGGTACTGAGCTTACCGCCTGCAGTCCAGACCTGTGTCCCATTGAAAATGTGTGGAGTATTATAAAGTGCAAAATACAACAGCAGAGACCTTTTTGGAACTTGTTGCGGGCATCAAATTCAAATTTCATTGATGTGATTTGATTTTATTAGGTTCCCCATTAGCTCATCAGCTACTCTTCCTGGGACAAAATTTAAAAAGGCATAACAGATTTGACACTTACAGACAAAAAAGAAACGAATGAGTGTATATTTACAAAAAAAACATTCAAGTTTATCAATTTGAACATCAAATATCTTGACTGTATTCAATGGACTATAGGTCAAAATAGATTTGCAGATCATGACATTCTGTTTTTATTTACGTTGTACACAGCATCCCAACTTTTATGGAAGTCAAGACAAAGTGCCCACCTAATAGTGATTTTGTCATCATTTTGTTGGGTGGGGCTCGGGCGTTAAAACATATTTTTCCACTAAAGGGAGCCATGACAGGAAAAGTTTGAGTAACACTGGCTTAATTAACCACTTTCACTAGATTTCTTTACATAAAGGACACACTACTTCCTGTCATGAAACTGAATGTTACTGGTTGTAGTTCATATTGGAGAAATTTGCTAATATGGACATAATTCCACTGGACATAAAACTAGTTTAATTTCATCTTGGACAGTGCGTTTTGCTCACCCACTGTGTTATTTTCTGTGGATGTGCACAACCAGTGCTTCAAAAGAATAAGGTACATCGGGTATCAGAAGACAGTAGAAACCTACAAATACACATCAGGTTGCAATTTGTTGTGTAAAGTGTGAGTAAAGTGCAAGTCATTGAGATAAAGAGCTGCACTGATTCAAATGAGGGTGTATGTTCAGTTGCAGTGAGATGTACTAACCAGACTCCGCTGACACAGCGTGTGGACAGAGCCCGGGGCATGATCTCTGAGCCCTGCTGCATGAAGCCACCCACTGGGAACCACAGACTGTTTCCCAGCGTATACTGGTTCTCCAGGATGTCCCGCCGCTCCCGCAGACATGGGTGGGGGTTGTACCACTCATAAGGGCTGAGCCTGGAGGGGGGAGGGCACAATTACAAAAATCAGACACAAAGACACAAACACATAATGCACATTGAACACTTCTTCAACTCTTATAACCAGCACCAAAAATAAAAGCAAGGCCACACTGAGCTCCTGCTATTGTTCATGATGAGCTTCACTCCCTGGCTCCATGCAAAGACTTCATTAATTCAATTTGGAATATTTTACACTCCAGAAAACAGTATAAAGCTTTGATTCTCCGCCCGAAACCAACTAGGTCCAACCGGGCTATAGTTTTTCCAAATTTCCATGGGCTTGAATCTGATTGGGTTAGCTCCGTTTTTTGTGAGTGTGTTCTTGCTTTAAAAACAGACTTCATAGTCTGTGTAATGTCATGAATAATTTATGGTCTGTGCTGTCATCAACCCCTCCCAACTCCCCCTTCTCATTAATGAGGAGAAATGTTAAACGACCGCTATTCAATATTCATTGCATATGAGTGTTTTTGGACTGTGCTGAACATTTGGTGGCAGAAGGTACATTTCGGAAATTGTGTTACAAATGCCTGTTACTGCACTGAAAATTTCTCAGTTTACTTTAGCATTTAATACATGTTTTAATGTGAAAAAAAAATTGTATATGTTTTTTTAATAATGGAAATTCATGTTTTTGATCAGGTTCAGGCCCGAAACTGCTGCCGTGGTCCATGTAGGGTCTGGTCAGATTGTTTGGGCCTGATCAAAGCTTCTTAATACCCTTTGTGCACCAAAACTAGTGCTTATATGTAGGTTTCATGAATGCAGGGAAACTAGGCAATGGACTCCTATCTCATTGCCAGTAGGCCAGAAGGGTGTACACGGCTCTGCAGCAGATGAATATGTTTCTATTTGTTTTAGTGTCTGTCTGGTGTGATGTCACAGACACACCAGAAAACAGGTTAGTAAACAGTAGAAAGCAGCATGGAGACCAATGAGAATGTTACTATGGTTACTTCTTTTTTGTAGAGGATCTGTTACTTGTTCAGTATCTCTTTTAAACTTGCTGCAGATGAATTTGCATTTGTGTTTGAGAGCTGCTTGGATGGAGACAGATGTTACTTTGTGGTGGTGTACCATGGTATCGGGCCAGAAAAGGGGCGAAAATTAATGCATCCACCTGGTTGTTGTATTTCCATCACTGTCACTCAGAGCCAATTGGAGCCGCAGTTGATAAATACTATTGTAACAACTACAGAGTCATTTGTCCTGGGAAAAAAACGTTTCCATTAAAGACAAAGGCCAGGTGTTACTGGATTTTTTGTCCAGTGGGATAGTGGCTTAACAGGGCAAAAACATTTATTGGTGAATCGACTACATTATTATCAGGCTCATGAAAGGACTCTCACTCCACTACTAAGTGTATCCTGTAGTAAGATTAGAAATTCAAAGAAAAAACAAGTCAAAAAATTTTGGGCCAGATCCACAAAGAATGGATTGCTTCTGCTAATAGCGCCATTATTTGCGCAGAATTAGCTCACGCAATCTGCCCTGTTTTAGCGCCTTATCCTCAAAAGAATTTGCTCTAATCATATGCCGGCGCTAACACGCCCACAAAGTTTGGCAGCTGAGCGCAATTTGCGCCTCTGATTGCAATAAGCCGCGTGGCATATAGGTGGCTTTGTTCCAAGATCACAGTTGACACGACAATGGCAGAGTCAGACAGAAAAAGAAAACAAAAATTTACAGACCGAGAACTCAAAGTCCTCACTGACGAGGTGCAGAGACAAACATCCAAACTCCAGTCTAAAAATCTCACTGCAACAGAGAGAAGTAGTATATGGGAATCTATATCCCACTGTGTCAGTGCAGTTGGTGTGTGCAAACACTCTCCTCCAGAATGCAAAAGAAGATGGCATGATCTGAAGCGCAGGACCAAAGAAAAGATTTCATACAACCACAACCAAGCATCTGCAACTGGCAGGGGGCCACCCCAGGAACAAACTCTAACAGATCTTGAGGAAGTAGTTCAGCAGACCCTCCAGCCTGAGCAAATTGTCGGCCTGGAGGGAATAGACACAGGCGAGTGTGTTTTACAAGAATATCAAGGTATGTATATTAAAAATGCCCATTTCTGTATGCAGCATGTGTCATGTGTTTAACTTGGGTTAGTCTGTTAAAAAATATATAGGCTAACATAAATTAATATGCCACCCTTGTTTAGACGATCCAATGCCTGGCCCAGCCCACCACCACATCCCACCACACACCTCCCGCCTCGGCGCCCGGCCAGAACCCGGTTGAAATTCCACCCCCATCTGTCCCTGCAAACTTCGAGGAGACTGACCGTCTCCTTTACACTGAGCAGCAAAAACAAACAACGGCACAAGAACAATATGCAGTAACACTGAAGGGCATTAAATTTGAACAGCGAGGCACAAGACGCGAACTTGCAGCTATAGCAAGTAGCTCACGTCAGCTAGTAAGTGCTCTAGCAGGCCTAAACCAAAACATTTCGGGCTTGAGAGCACAAATGCAGGCGAGTCATGCAGAGATGATGGGGGCCATGAGTAGGATTGCTGCTGCTCTTGAGGCCAGAAATGCTTCCGTTGCAAGGGGGGAGAGTCAGCCTGAGCCGCCTGCCACACAGCCTGAGACGCCTGCCACACGATGGCAATTAAGAGAAAGGAATGATAAAAAAATTTAATTTATAATGACCTTATTTGACATTCATTTTTTGTTCTCGTTTTCAGACTCATGTGTTTCCAGAAATGCTTAAGGCTTTATATGTTGATTTATTGTGTGTGAATGGAAAGACTCCTCCTGATGATCTTCAGTGTATAAATGGGTTAAGGTCAACTTGTAGTATACAGTCAATTAATTTTTTTCATGACACAACTGTGATTGCATCTTAACAAAATAAACAAGTTGGTGCTGAGCTGTCCATGGTCCTGAATCTTTTGTACTGACCTATTTACCTTAGAGCAGAGCTGTCCGTGGTCCTGACTTTAGGTCAACATAAAGCCCACTGTGACCTATCACTGAGGCCGCTGAATTACTATTGTCAGGGTGAGAGGTTGAGTTGCATTTATTTCTCAGGTTTGTTTGGGTATTACTGATTTATCTCCTTATTTAGTGAAGCATTCCGCATTTAGTGGACGACCCTTATCTCCTGAGACACAGCCGCCAAGTGTATAAATGTCAAAGTATTAATTGTGCCCCTTAAGAAAAAACTTCAAATTATTTATTATGAACACAAAGTGGTTCAAAGTGGTCAAAGGACCATATGTCCATACGTGTCGCTTTTTTGTCTTTTTTTTGTTGTTGTTCATCCCGTTTTTTGTTTTTTTGCCTTTGTTATTGAAACAGCCAAAATAAATGCAGAAAATACAACTCAAATGACCAAAAAGTGGTCAAGGGGGTCAAAGGGGTTTTTAACAGACTGTATTTCGACAAATTATTCATGTTTACTTAAAAAAGGTGGAATGGTCGCAGAGACGAACACAGTAGCCTATATTACTGAAAGTCTGGTCACTTTTATTTAGCGCCAAATCAAAGTAAAAATAACGTTGCACAACAGAAAACACAGCACACTGCTTAAAGTAACGTTGTAAAACAGAATACTTTATATAGCTGGAAATAATGTTAACTGAAAACACAGCATGTCGCTGGAAATAACGTTATGCCTAACTAAAACAAATTACTGGAAATAATTCTGAATAATATGCTGTCTGACACGCCTGCCCTCGTCCTCCCGCACATCAACCAGTGGGGCAGGTGGCTCCTCTTCTTCATCCCCTGAGTCATCGTTATCCTCGTGTTCCTCAACACGCAGCCCGGCTCTCATGGCTATGTCGTGGAGGATGCAGCACACCACTATGATCCGGCAAACCTTGGGGGGACTGTATAGCAGAGCTCCACCGCTGCGATCCAGGCATCTAAATCTGCTCTTTAAAATGCCGAAGGTGCGCTCTATCACACCCCGTGTCCGGATGTGTGCCCGGTTGTAGGCTGCTTCCCCATCATTGGCCGGATTGTGCACCGGAGTCATCAGCCATGGCTGAAGTTGGTAGCCCCTGTCACCTATAATGAATTGCACATATTTTCCCCCACATTAGCAATCAGTATTAGAGTACGGACATTTTCTGAAAAATAAACAAATAAATAATTAAATAAATAAACAAACTTTCTTACCCAGTAGCCAGCAGTCGTCATCCATGCCCTGCACCATCCTGTGCACACTGCTGTTCCTAAATATATAGCTGTCGTGCACAGACCCAGGGAATTTGGCGACCACATGCGTGATGATGTTATTTGCGTCACACACTACCTGGACATTAATAGAATGGGTATGCTTCCTGTTTCGGAACACGTTTTCGGTGTCTGATGGTGGAACAACAAGAACGTGTGTGCAATCAATTGCACCCACAATATCTGGGAAGCCGGCAATACGGAAGAATGCAAGTTTTGTCACTTCAATGTCACGTCGGTTTTGGGGAAACCTAATATAGCTGCCCACTCTTCTCACAATGGCAGGTACAACCTCCCACATGGCCCTGCTGATGGATGACTGTGAGAGCCCTGAGACGCCTGCAATGGGGTTCTGGAAAGAGCCAGATGCAAGAACCTGTAATGTAGACACTAATTTGACAATGCCAGGTAAAGCATGGGATCTCTGGGTGGCAGGCTCAATGTCATCCTTGATGTCATCTAGTAGCGCAAGGATCATGCGGCCTGGCAACCGGTATCTGCAAATGATTTCATTGTCACTTAAATCAAAAAGTGATACTCTCCTCCGATAAATCCTTTCTTGTGCGTGCCTGCCATTACAGTGCCTTCACCTGGCTACAATCACTGCTGCCATGATTACCGGAGAGTCCTGGCATGACAGCCCTTATATAGACTATGCTCCACAGTTACCACCAACTGAGTGCAATTTGCAATCATTTTGTGTGAGAGAGAGAGTGAGAAAGAGAAATTGCGCGGATTTAATACACGGGTCTCAATGGCGTTAAATAACACCGCTTTACTGCCTGTGGCAATTAGCGCTGGTCTTTGTGGATTAGGTGGTATTTGCAATGAGGCTTATTTGCATAGGAAGGGGGCAATTTTGCGCTGAATTTATGAATATTCCCTAATTTACATGCATGCAAATTGGACCGGCGCAGCTAGGAGTGGCAGTGCAGTTTGTGTTCAGTTTGCGTGCATTTCAACCTTTGCGTGTGCTTTGTGGATTGCACGCTATTTCTTTCTCTCATTTGCACAGGTTTAGCGGTCGCAAAAGCAGTGCAATCCTTTTGAGGATCTGGCCGTTTGTTTTTAAAAAGTTTTTTTTTAATACAAACAGCTGAGATGTTAAATGTGTTTGTTCCACCTGTCTTAGACAGACACAGTTAAAGAGTTGAAGGTGAGAAAGGTAGACAGATTACTGCACTTATACTCTTTATGCAGAAAGAAACAACATAATAACTGTGTTTAAGTGGTCAACTGGAAAGTAAAAAAAGTGTGAGCTGTCAAATGAAATTGCCCTTTAAGGGATTAATAAAGTTGTCTTGAATCTAAAAAAAAAAAAAACTGTCGCAGTCATTCTAATGTTTGTGTGAACAATGAAATTACAAGCAATAAGAAAGAATAGTGGCACAGAGACCTACAATTACTGCCAGTAAAATACAAGTTAAAACAACACTATGAAACATGACAACAATTTGACATTCATGTCATTTTGTCGTGTTACAATGACAAACACAGAGCGAGATTTTTTTAATGAAAACACGACCTGTCCTCTAACACAAATATTAAAACTGAAAGATGAAAACTGATTTGCTGTTATTTATAGGTGTGAACACACACACACACACACACACACACATAAAGATAGAGGCAGGTGTGTTACCTGGCGGCGAGGAAGAGGACACAGCTGACGGCGAGGTAAGCCAACAGCATGAAGAGCCAGACAGCCGGAGAGAACGGATCCAGGAAAGAGAAGTAACCCGGTTTACGGCCCTGAAATACACGCACACACACACGCACACGCACGCATGCACACACACACACACACACACACACACACACACACACACACACACACACACACACAAACAAAATCCATTTGTTTACTGTGTTTCTATTACAGTTGATTAAAATTGTCTCCAATATTAAAAAAATATATATAATAATAATAAAATAATAAAAGTATTTTTCAGTTAAATATTCCTGACTTAATATGCAATAATCAAAATTAAAGTTTTGAACAAACTATTAAGGGTTTAACACTCAAAAACTCTCCATCAGACTGTGTGGGTTTGGTATGATCAGATTTGATCTCCCTGACACAATCAAATGGTTCACTATCACATATGGGTGTAAAGTTCAGCTGCCTCATGGATAAAACTCTGGGGAGAATCCACACTAAATGTTTGCGTACGTACAAATGAGGACATGTATATACACAAATCAACTTGGAATTGTCCGCGTGTGGACCAGCCTCATATCCCACCTTCTACACACCCACATTCAACCATAAATGGCTAATGCAAAGCACCCCATTAATGCTGATGCATAGACATGAGCCGCCTGACCAATGGTTCTTCGCGGGAAATCATGGCAACGACCAAGAGGAAAACCAAGAAAAACAAATATTCCTGACACAGAAATCGAGGTGCTTGTGGATGAGCTGGAGGTTAGAGAGCACATAGCCTATTGTTTGGTGGGCAGTAAGCTGACAAGCTGAAGAAAAGGCAGTGAGTGGAAACCTGCTTTTGTATTTTGACATTTGGAGATTTCTGCAAGTACTGCATTTTTCAATAACTGGATGGTGAGCACTTCTGTTGTGGAAGATGCTGATAAACCTCTTAATTTTCAATTAGTCCATACCCAGGGATGTGTTATGTATAGAGGAATAAGAAATCAAAAACAGAATATTAGAGGAGATGCAAAATCAGAGCACTGTAAATGCACTGTCTAATAAATATTAATGTAAGACAAACAATGCACACTGTATTTAGAAACATGCTTTATGGCAAAATACATGGAGCATAGTTTTGGCCGACGGCACGGAGGCATGTTCGTGCGTAGGGCCGTGCGCGGGCACACAGGTACACACATTCAGGTTTCGATCTGCAAGTGTTGGAGATAAAGGCTTCCCAGCCAAACTGTGGTCCCAGCGTGCATGTGCAGCTCGCGCTGCTAATGGTACTCACAGTATGAATGGGTAGTGGAAACGCGAATATAAACAGTACAAATGTAGGAAAAATGCAAAAACGGCATCATGGCTGTCTGCACATGACCAAGATGAAAGCGTATGTGCAAGTTCAGAGAAGTAGGTCGAAGCAGTGAGGAGGAAAACGGATAATGACAGATGGACGGACGGGCAGAGGGACAGAGGTTTCTCCATTTAATAGTAGGATATGCCTATGACTAATACCTATCCTCCAAATGCTTGAGGTCACAGTTTCTGGCTACAAAGTTTCATGAGGCTGTGATTACCCTAGATATCACTGTAGATCATTTATACAGCAAGGTCAAGTTTCAAAAAATGGTCTCACTACAATGAAATGGCTAGTATAGGGACTAACATCATCATATGCGAATAAAAATTGTCTCATTGAATCGACAAGAGTCTCAGCTTTTCAGTCATACCCTATTTATGCAATTAAAAGATTGTTCAAGGATTCTAGTATGCAAAAATATTCAAATAGGCAAAAATAACACATTTATACTGCATGCAATAAATTGCATGGTTTTTGCCCCAAACTGTATGGGACTAGCACACAGTGGGCATATCTGTGAAGGGTAACCAATGCAAACCCACAGAGTCCATTTTCATTCAGATATCTTGAGTTGAGAGGTCAAGGTACCTTTGTGACAATGGCCATGCTGCTTTTACCAACCAAAAATTTAGCCGAACCTTGGAGCATTATTGAGCCCTCTTCCTGAGAGGCTAAGATGACAAGGTTGGTACCACTGAATTTCTTAGGTTCTCTAACTTCAGGATACCAGGATCATCACTCTAGCTTTGAAACTCAACCCGTTACAGTCTCTTAAAGACAGGAATGTTGGCCAGGAGCATGGGTGGCCCAGCGGGTCTCATGACTGTGAAATGTAAAAACATCCACAAGGTTGATATGCTGTGTCACATCACTTCTGGTACAGTAAGATATTAATTTTAACCCTTTTTTTTAAGCAGAGTGTTCTCATTTTTTCACAGTTCTGTGTAGTTTGTACCTGTTAGAGGACTGAAGAGCCTTGCATAGAGAGAAAAAAAAAGGACCAGCTGCATAAAATCAGCATTGAGCTAAAGGATGCCAGTGTGGGAAAGCACTGCTTCAGTGGATAGTGTAGCATCTTCAGTTGATTTTAATGGACACGTCCTGCTGTGGGCATGCAGTGGCAGACGTGTCACATCACATCTGTGCCCCATGTAATGCTCAGGTGCCTGCTTTCTTTTGGCAACTGTCATGCTTTTATAAATCTCTTTTTTTTAATCTAGCTTAATGTTGTATATGTGTGGCAAAAAATATTTAAAAAATAAAAAACTAGCTGAACTTATACAAATGTTTCTAATTCTGTGTATTTGTTAGTGAGGACTGGTTTTGCATGTGTTTCACACTTTAAATGGCATCACTGAATTTCCACATCAAACCACATGAACTTTAAATTCAAAACACAAAGTTTAACACCAGTGGAAGTTCTAATGTCTCCAGCTGGCAGCAGTGAATTGTGATAATGACCATCTGCCATTCTCAGAGGACAGAAAGCTGTCAACGTCTCAGCTTTATAAACACCACCTTCACGTTCGGATTGACAGCCATGTACTTTGGAAAATAACTCCTGGAATTACATTGTTTTCCTTTTTTTGTCTTTCAGCTCACCATTGTCAGTACAGAAACCTGCAATTCCAATACAACATGATAAAACAACCGAATTGCAGTAACAAGCGTTAAAAGTGTTAACGACAGTCAGTTGATCTTAGGCATCAATACGCTAACCATTGATCGATTTTATCTTTCCCTCCTGCTGCTGCATATGACCCCCCCCCCCCCCCCCCCCCCCCCCCCCCCCCCCCACAATTATACTGAAAGAGGCTTTGGCAGTGAGGAGAATGGAGGAACTCAAAGCCTGGACCTAGTTTCAGCAGATGACTAGAACTGTTATGGAGGTAATCAACTCTGTTTCTGTTTTTCGTCCATTTGGACTGAAAAAAAAAAAAAACACCCACCGTATGAGTGGCGAAAATCTGCTGTGAATCTGCCTTGTTCCACAGAATCAGACGAGATATCACAAGTAGAAATGTGGATCAGAGAATATGAAGGCAAACAACAGCAGGTACATCCAATCAACCCCCATCACCCCCAATTTTTGCTGCATCTTGGTGACAAGTGGACAGTCCAGACACATCGCTATTCACACCCATGTCTATCATGTGTCTCCAGCTTAACACTTGTGTTCAAATTTTGTGACTGACTACGTCAATTTGGCTTAAAGGTCAAATGGCCCTTTGTACAGTTATTACGTACACACTTACCAGTCAGGTTTGTGTTTGTGATTGTGTCAGTACAACTGGAGATATCACTGGACAAAACAATAGACGGTCATGCAACACTTGGTCCAACTTGTAAGGTCGGCAAGTTATAGAGCATTGGTGCACTACCATCAAAACAACCACCACGTCCTGAATTAACATTGTAGTCCTTTTCTGGGACGCATCAGGATGCTTTGGTGTTTACACTACAAAAGACGTGGACAAAAGCATCAGAGACCTCTTTCTACGTTTCCAAGTACAGGCAGAAATGCACCCAAAACGCCTTGAGGACAGATTGTGATCCATTCAGCCAAACCACCTCTGGAGGTGGTCAGGGTTGCATTGTGACCACATTGAACACAAGTATAAATACAACTGGATTTTCAATCCATATATAACTAGAATTACCCCCCCGTGGTTGTTTGCCTCCGCGCAACAGTCAAGTTTCTTTTACAGTTTACATTCATGTCTGTGACAACATGGATGCTTCACACCCATCTTCCCCCCAGCAGCACAGAAGATCTATACAATCAGCACAGTTTCAAGGTGGGCACCCAAGATCAGTGTCACCAATTCAGTATCTGACCAAATGTCTCCTCTTCTGTTCCTGAGTTATGACACTGAATAATGGCCAGAAAACATTATGTCATAGTGAAATTGACCTTTGATCTTTTGGATATAAAATGCCATCACTTCATTATTTTATCCTATTAGATATTTGTGTGAAATTTCGTCATTATTAGCAAAAGAATTGGCCAAAAACATGTTTTGTGAGGTCACAGTGACCTTGACCTTTGACCTTCAACCACAAAATTCTAAACAGTTTATTCTTCAGTCCAAGTGGATGTTTGTGTCAAATTTAAAGAAATTTTCCTGAAGATGTTCTTGAGATATAGTGTTCTAGCCGGGAAATCCAGACTCAAATCTAGAAAGATCTTGAGTCTGGCCCTCACCGATACACCCTTCCTACCCAAGGGGCGGCACTAACTGAGGCATATTAAATGCTGCCACACGCAACTGGATAACACGATAGCCAATCAGAGCAAAAAACAAGGTGACGTATTCATTGCACTAAGCCCCATTTGTTTGCCGACCAGTGGGACTGACTGATACATTATGCTTTTGCCGTATCCCGTTGGCAAAAAACATCCTTCCTGGAAGTGAAGGCTTCTAGGGCAGTCTTCTGTTCCTCTCTCAAGGAAAAAGATAAGTGTAGTTGGCTTAGCGTTTCTTGCAAAGCTAAATTGAATGAACGAGGTCCTTTGGCAGCTGCTATCTTGTCTGTGTACTTTTCGACTCCTACGACGCAGCACTGTCCTCATCATGTTACACCCACCCAGAGCCCGCTTCTGTCAGATATACTGATCTGATTGGTCCGATGGCGATTCACCAGGCTCTGCTCCTCGGGGCCAGATCCCTGTGCAGTGTAAAGTCGAATTTGCTGGGGGCAGGGCATCTGGATTTCCAGGTTAATAGTGTTCAT